CGGCTTTTGCTACACTTTGTGTCTGTCGTCGAGACGGCCTGGATCATACGTGTTCTCCGAGCTAAACTCCTCCAAATTCGCCAGCGAAACCTCTTACGGTTACCCACCTAAACAACCTGTTTCCTTCTCTCTCTTTTGTCAGATTAAAGGAGTTTTTATCAAATTTTTGAAATAATGGGATTGGCTACATACCTGACTCGCCTTTTAAAACACTGCGCAGCACAATGTTTTTAGTCTGAGTAAGTATAAAAATCACAAAGAAACTTTGTGATTGTTTTACTGACAAGAAAGAGGAACAAGGAATAAGAATGTTATGATAAAAATACCCGCTCCATTAAATTTAAGTTGGTCTTTGTGAAGCTTAACATGTTTCAACTCTCTTTTGTAACGGATTTGTTCAGAAATAACGTACAATAATGTTATAGGTGTATCCATCCTTTTATCTACTTAAAGAACTGCGTATCTTACATACATAGTTTATTTAGTTACATTTTAATTGTAACTAATTGTAGGTATAATCTCTTCAGCTTCAAGATAGAACAAACTAAAACAAACGTGAGTTCGTAATCAGCAAGTTGTACGTGAACAACGCAATTCTTATTCTGTCAATCCAAAAGTGATGTTTGCCAAGAACGCATTCAGTAATCATATGTAACTTAATGTATTTTTTCATAGTTATAAAGTTATGATTTTAAAGCTAAAAGTCCGTCTAGTGTAACTTTCATATTTATCAAGAAGTCATCAAATATTAACAATAAACAAACATCTTGATATAATCATCATTGAGGTACTAATCGATAAATTAATTCCGTGGGGTAAACCTCAGAGGATTTATAGTGCACACACTGTTGGAATTACAAAAATTCCAGGGACTAATTTTTACATTCAGGGATTTATTCAGAAGAATCAGAATTTACTGAGCATTACCAGGATTTATGGGAATTTCTACTTAGTATGGTAACAAAATTTATGTATTATGAAAATAGTTGTAATATACGTGATCTACAATATTTCTTAAAGGGTTTTATTGTAGTTCTATCTTTTTGTATAACTCCATATTTTAGAGACCAGCTAGATTAGCGAATCATCAGTATCTCTTTATGGAAATGCTAGATTTTTATATTAGCACTGTCAAACCTATTCTTAATCCTCCATTAAATTATAATTAATGTAATACTTATGTATCCTTTATAAATTCTCACCCTCGAGGCATTTTGACTACTACTATGCCATCATATAGTGTTATATTGTGATATTTCCTGGGCTTCTCAGCCTGTTGTACCTACTCTCAATAGGTAAATAAAAATATAAATAAATAAACTTTCCCTAAAATAAGCTAATAATTATCATATCATAAAGCAGTTTAAAATTAATTAAATAAATCCCTATTTATGGCATTATTATTCTCCGCAACAACGTCAATTGTTTATCCACTGGCTGATCAAAATTTTTTATTTAATTATAAAGATAAGATTCTACGAAGTGTAAGTTCGTACCCAACCTTTTCTATGACTTTATTAAGAAAAAGACGCAAATATTCTTGGAAATGAGATAAGTTTTCTAGTTTGAAAATATATTTTCTTCGTTTCTGCTATAAATTCCGGTACCTGCATTTCATATCCTCGAAATGGAGTTGGGCCAGCGATTTGTCATTTCTAGAATCTCAGGGACTGCAAATTTATAACTATAATTAAAAGTTTCCTGATATAAAAGGACATTCAGCCAGGAAATACATTGTAAGTTGCAAGTGTAAAAAAGAGCACAAACTAGAAAGCAATCGTGTTACTAAAACATTAATTAATATTAAATACTAAAATCTATATGGTAGCCTCTTCTGTTGAGATATTTTAAATTACCTTTTGCTAATACCTTAAAGAATTAAATTATTTTAAATAGCAAAAACTTACAAAAAGCAAGTATTTTTATCAAAAAATAATAATAAATAATTGTCTATTGCTTTTTTCAGTTGTTTGAATAAATAAAAAGTTTTCAATAAATGAGAAATTTATGCATACAACAATTTAATGAACTGATTGATTACCTCACCTGTGACGCATTGGCTTTAAAGGCTTTATCAACGGAACTAAAGCAAAAAAATGCTCATTAATATTAAATCATTCACAAAACAATTAAATTCTTCCATTTGGTTTGATTTAGAAAGCGAAATGCCGCATGAAATGGAAATTCAGTATTCACTTCAACCGACATCTTACTCCACAAATCGGCGACTAGTAAGATTAATTACAGTGATTGTAAATTTTAGCAAATCATCGTTCGTAAAAGGAAAACCGTGCTTGTTCTATTCATTAATATTATACCTTGACGCCAGCCGTCAATCCTTTAATCATGACCGAATCGTTTTTGATGTAACAGACAATCTATAAACTAAATTGACAAAAGGATTTATAAGAAAAACAAAGTAGATAGGACTTTTGACTGTTTACTTAATAAAGAGGTTTCGATAAGAAGAGTTTCCACTGATTCAATCTCTGAAAACTATAATACTGACTGTAGTCAAAAGATCGATTTTATTGTATTTGATATAGAAACACGCAATTCTAATGTTCGATGTGCAAATATTTTAATTAATATAGGTAGGTACAGGCCTGACGCTGGAAGCTGGCGGAAATTTTAAAATGGCGTGGATGCGCGGTGGCAAAGGTAGGCAGTTTTAGGTATAAATATTGCAGCCCTCATTCTTCAGTANGAGCTAATCTTTGCACTTCCCTAAAACTAGAACAACCCACATGGTTAACTGTTTGCGAACAATAATCTAATCTAGGTCTACTTCTACTCCTCCTAACTTCTGTTTCTCCCTGTAATATGTCTCTGACTAGACCTTCATGCCTGACAAGGTGTCCTACCAACCTATCTCGTCTATTTTTTATTGACTTCCACACTACCTCTTCATTTCTAACCTTCTCTATCCACGGTATCCTCATCATTCGCCTGCAACACCTCTAACCTTTTCTTTTCCTCTGCGCCCATCAACCTTTTTCGAATTTATAAATTAACCATTCGCGAGCATAGAAGTGACTTATTCTTTTTATTGAATACGACTAGACCCTGCGCTACCTGCTGCTTTATATCCCTACTACTCCTACTACTCCTTCCGTCTTGGCTTATCTGACTTCTTAGATACCTAAAATCAGTCACTTATTTTTTAATATCTTATCTGTATATTCAACAACAACTATAATAAAATTATTATGCCACAAATTATCCATATACATATTACCAACCTAATACCTTTAATCAACATGTTAGTCGGTTTTAGTTTTTGTTATAATCAACAAAATATTTAAACAAAATGCGATATGCCTACTAACGAATTAGATATTACATGCTCGCATTGATCTCGTAAGTTCGTGTCAAAAACAAATGCTTCTAATTTTCTAGGTTAAACACACACTTTAAGTAGGATGACAGTAAATACAGTCCTTTACTAATATGAAAAGAAATTTTTCTATCCGTCAGGAACAGTATTTGTTTTTCTGAATAAGGGTAGGTACCTTATGTTCTTTTCTGTACCTTTGACGATGTGCTTACAAAATTTCATGCTGATCGGTTGAGTAGGTATAGTTAAGGCGTGAAATGACAATAAAGAGCGAAACAAATTCACATTCCCTTTTGTAATATGAATTAGGGTTCTAAGTCAAACTTTTATAAATTGACTTTAAGTTTTCGGTATTCATATTGATCCCGAGAAAATTTTAAGAAATTTTAGACTGAGATAGGCCTGGGGATACTTTGGGCTACGTAATCACGAAGAATCCTTTTTTTTTTTTAGCAAAAGTCGTTCCTTTTTATGGTCAGTTCCATTCTTTTGACTTTGTGGCCAATAGCACAGTTGAAAACACCCGGAACTCCTTTGTCTAAAACTCTTGTTCCGTTACCGTAACCATTTAATTATTTCGTCCGAAAAAAAAAATATATAAAGGAGAAATTTCAACTGTTTGAAGTTTTTTGCTTCGGCAGTTTCAATCATCATAAATACTTTTCCCACATGTTTGTTTTTTTCTTGATTTTAATCACTGACGGTGATGATTCCTAGGATCGATTTAAACAATAGGGGTCATATTGTTTAACAACACAGAATTCCAGGTAGTTAATATGCGAAGTCTGCACAACTATGAAAATTTAATATTAATTTAAAATCATTTTTTTTGCCAATTTTTTATTTACCCACTACAAACTACCTCAAATTAATGAGGGGCAAATAAAAAATTCGAAAAAAAAATAATTTCAAATTAATATTGCATATTAATAATCCACTATTAAGTAACTAACAATGTCATAGGATTTTATAAATTTAATACGAAAATTTACTTCACATATACCGCTAAATAGCCATTTTAAGTTCTGATTTGCTAAGCATCCGTTTTTTTAATCTGTTTTAGCTCCCTTAATTAGTTGTTATTACGGTAATTATCATTAGACAGCAATAACAATTGTTCCTCATTAATTTTGAGGTAATTTGTAGTGGATAAAAATTAAATGAATTTTTCATTAACATTAAATATTAATCACTGTTAAATGTTTCTTAAAGTTTTCAGACTATATGGTATTTAATTTTTGAGACGATTTAATTTCATTTGGTAGAGCCCAGACATGTTATTGACAAGAGCAAAAGAACAAAGTATTTTGCCGCAGTGACATACAGAAGAAATCTAATTTCGCAGAAAGTTCCGAAACCGAGTCATTTTCTTATTCTGAATCGAAAGGTCCCTTTTGTTGTCCGTTGTGCACCGACTCGGTTTTTCACTATATTTATCCAAACTGCGTTTTTCTCCTGTGAAATACGACCACGCTGCTTGGTCAGCCAGTTGAACTGTAATTGAATCGTTCAGTTTAAGTTCGTTCCCCTTTTTTCCACTCTGTTTCTTGCTCCCGTCAACTTGTGCAGCTGTTCAATCCAATTTAACGAATGTATCGGGCTTCCCCATTTAAGAAATAACCGAATTCAATTTCTTTCTTTAACGAGGAACCTTTCATTACAGGTCGCAACCGCTGAAGACCTGAAATTGAATTTTAAATTTGAGGGCTGCGGCAACGACGCGCCTGGCACCGTTCGATATAAACTCGAAAGAGGACCGGAGACTCTTCTGGATACGAAATCCAATTCGAGGTAACAGACTGACGTACTGATAATTATTAGACATTCGCTTGGTTGGTAATTCCATCTATAATTGAATGGCATAACATTATGTAATAGGAGTTGGACATTTAAATCTATTCTGCAACCTTGTCGTGCTAATTTTTCAGGTTTTTTGACAGATAAATATTTTTCTCACCCTGAATGATTAGTTACAGACAGTGGCGGATTATCCATAAGGCAAAGGGGCGCAAGGTTAAAAAGGGGCGCGCGCGGAAGTTTTTAAACCTAAAAAAAAAAAATAAGGAAGTACCTAATAAAAAAAAAGTATTTTGCAACATATATGACCGCCAGAGCGGCGCCTATGAGGTGCTAGCCTAGAGCGCTCTCGACATTTAATCCGCCTCTGGTTACAGAGTTGGTTAAATCCTGTTCATTCTATAAAATTGTACTGTCATATCTTATTAGGTTAATTTAAATAAATTAGATACATTCAACAAATACAAAACCTCTGGAGATTCACCAATAATATCAAGAGTTTTAGATTACATTAAGGAGCCAAGAAATTACTGTCAAAGAGGAATTAGTATTTGGAAGAATGGGAAAGGAAAACCGGAAAGGGAATTAATAATTTCAAAACAAATTTTTTGATCAAAACATATTATGTTAGATGTACGTTCACACAATCAGTTCGGGTTGGAGAAGATAACTTAACAAAGGAATCTCTAAATGTGCTAGATAGAAAGATATCAAATTCTCAAAGAAGGCATCTCACGAAAAAAAACTTTTTTATATACGGATATCAAGTATCTACGTAAAAACTTATAACTTACGAGTTCCTTTTTGCTTTTTGATATAAATAGATAGATTGTTATCACATTTAGGGCTGCCGTAAGAGTCAGGAATATATCGATCTTGTTTAGTTAAGACAATTTCAAGAACCATTTAATTGATTATCGTGTTATCCTTATGAAAAAATCTTATGAAAGCGAGCAGAACAATATACAAATCACGATTACGTCTCTCTTTTATGAAACGTATGCAATAATAAATAAAATTATATAATAGACAGACGTTGTCTTGTCCAAAACATCCGTTATTGTATCGAAGACATAGTCTATGCAGTCGTTTTTTTCTATCCTTCCTGCATTCATTTATATTTCCCGCTTTATTATAATTCCTCCTTTTCATCTATGAATCCACTCATTGGAATTTTATCTTATTCATATAACTGAGAATAATTTTCGTCCTAGGTAATATAAAGACGTTGCTGAAATAAAGTAACCGACACAGTTGAATTGGTTCGAATGAGAGAAAATGATTTATCTGTTGAGTATAACGCTTGACCAGGATGTACAGTACATTCGTTACGTTAAAATTGCCGGTTCGAGACCAGTCCGATCGACGACAGGTAAAAAATAAATCTGTACTCTATTTCCTCGAGCACGAACCCTTAAAACCAAGCATTTCAATTTCCTCCAGTCACTGTTCTCTTCCGTCTTTGGTATTCATTCTCTCAATCTGCAGCTGTCGATAAAGGCGTTGAATATGTCTTCCTGCCTTCTCTTCAAACGGAAATCAGAAAAAACTGATTTCAATTAGAAATATTCAATATATATTAGCAGAAAAAAATTGACAACCTTTTGGAAGAATTATTACATAAGAATGTAAAACTAAAGTTAGAGCTGCTACAACCAGAAAGTCTATTAAATGCAAGGTAATAGATATTTTGTTATCGCTTTGTTTGTTAGTTTATCAGAATCGTGATTTGGAACCTGCTATGCTCTCATTAATACAGCTTCGATAAAATATCGATCAAACCGAAGCTGTTCAATCCAAGCAAGTTGACTAACATCAAATAACTGGCGGTGTGTCGCCATCTACAGATGGTTACTGCTACACTTTATTTAAATATAAATTAGTACTAAAATTGAAGCGATGTAACTAGCTAACTTAACCTAATCAGTAATTAATAAATGTCCTGATTGATTCATTTATGCAGGTATCTCAATCATCTATCACCTTCGACCTTTGCCGTAGTTCTTATTTCTGTATGGTCATATGATGAATATATCGCGTTTCTGTTTGAGTCACTGCCGTCTGCAGTTTTGCTTGTACTTTTTCGCGGCTGTATATCTTTAAACTATGCGATTATCAAAATCCAATTGATAATCAGTTCTTAAATTATTTTTCTTGCTTTTTTGTGTAGCACAAATCGTTCTTCTCTATCTGTTTAAATCTAGAATTGTAAACGTGTTGTCATTAGACGTAGTGTTCCCATAATACGAGTAGAACTGCAACATTCAAAAATTCAGTTTTTGCTGAAGCTTCAAATTTTCATATAGCTCTGCTTCTCGGACTATTTTGCTTCTGCCTCATAATAAATATCATTATGATCTCACCGACTATTTATCTCACTTCCCCGTTTGGTTTTGATGGGGGTATTTACAGTATACCTAAATTGTTGTTAGAAATTTATAAGACAAGATACACAAATAGAAGATACTTGACATTGACGATGCATGCTCAAGACGCGAAAAAGTTGCAGCAATCTCGATTGACATCCTCCAATCACATTAAAGCTGCAATTTACGTTATTCAATTCAATAGATAGTGAACTACTTTAAATGAAGATTGTGGTTTCAAAGGTATGCGGTTGATGAACCATGATTTAAATACGTAAATAGTTTAAAAATACAAAGGAGCTTGTCGTTGTTGAATTGTTTGCATTTAAAAACAATAAGAGAAACTAATAGCATCACCCTTCAGCAAGTTGGTAACAAAAGTCGGAAGCTCACGACAAATTCTCTAATGAGAACCAATAATTCCAACTGTAAGTAATAGTACGAAATGTACGCTTCATTGCTTGACTACTTCAGCGTTTCGTGTTAATTTCATTTGATCGTTAAGCAACTTAGTTGAAATGCTTGTACTAGCTCTCAGAGTTGATTAGGTCGTAATTCTTTTTTTGTCGCAAGCTCCGCTTGCATGTAAATTGGTGGCGGATTAGTCGAATCGCTGTATGGAGTTTTACAGTCAATGTGACCGAGAAATTTCTGATGTCAGAGTTCAAACACGAATGTTAACGTGATAAATCATTAATTAGCACGCATTAGCTCGCCCAGTTTATCGATTCCTTTGTGGAGGGATTAAGCTGCATCTGACACAGGGTTACAACGACCACACTCAGCAGCTGCGCCCTCAGCACCACGATGGTGTAAAGCGCTCGTGGTCCAAAACTTCCCTCGGATGATAGCAACACTTAATTTATGATCACTGCGGCGTCATATTCTCGAATGAATAAATTTTAAAGTTGATTCCTATTTTACAAAGTTAACATCAGAGAATAAATATATAAAATAATACTTGACNTTACCAGTCATTTAATTAAGGTGAATAATAATAATCTAGACGAATCACAACTAAAGCTTAATCAGAATTTTATAAGTGCATTAATGTGGTGAAACGGTTGTTGCGCGACGTACGTCTTCGCTCATTTTTATCCTCTTGAGTTGCGAAATCCCTGTCTTAGTAAGGTAGGCAAACATTATCAATTTATTTAATTAACTGTTATCACTTAGTCACTTTAAAATGAGACACTTTTAATTTTTGTAGGGTTAAATTCAATGCATTCTTTACGCACGGTAGGCTTCATGCGAGTTGCTATGTAACGAAATCATGCAACGCATTTCCCCCGCTGTCTGTCCCTATTTATGCTCAGATCTTTAAAACTACGCAACGGATTTTAATGCGTTTTTTTTAATAGATAGAATAATTCAAGAGGAAGGTTTATATGTATAATACATGCACAATTTGGTAGAGAAACACTGATAATTTTAGAGGTTTGTAATGTTATGTCGTAAATAAACACATTTTTTGCGCTTACATTAGAAACGCTGGCTGAACCCTTCGAGATAGACAAAAATAATATACTACATTATTGTACTCCTTTACTTTTTACGAGAAATAATGGCTTATTTACGAAGCGATTTTAAGCAATACAACATTAATCCTTATCCAATCAAGTAATTTTAAATAAATTGTACATTTAATATAGACCAATATGACCCTTTACGGCATGTAATTTAAATGAATATTTTCCAAGATATTACAGACTTAAAATGCAGGGACATAGCGGTTGCGGCGGTACCGGCAGGTTTGTGTTGTCTAATGACAAAAAAGCTGTGATTGTTTTATATAAAGACATTCATCATCATCATAAGGTCATCAGTCCTAAGACTGGTTGGACACGTACCTCCACTCATTCCTATCCTGAGCTAAACTTCGCATTTCCCTAAAACTAGAACAACCCACATCCTTAACTATTTGCGATGAGTAATCTAATCTAGGTCTACCTCTACCCCTCCTAACTCCTGTTTCTGCCTCTAATATGTCTCTGACTAGACCTTCATGCCTAAGAAAGTGTCCTACCAACCTATCTCGCCTATTTTTCATTGACTTCCACAGAGTCCTCTGTTTTCTTATTCTTTCTAATACCTCTTCATTTCTAACCTTTTCTACCCACGATATCCTCATCATCCGCCTATAACACCACATTTCGAACGCTTCTAACCTTTTC